GGGCCGGTGCTGCTGGGGCAGCCTCCCTGACTGCCTGGGCGAGCGCCAGGGCCTTGGGGGAGGCGAAGCCTCACTGCTGCAGGTGCTCGGGGGAGCGTGACCTGCCGCGCCTGGGGGGGCGCGCGGCGGGCGAGGAGGCTCCGCATCTCCACGCGGCATCCCAGGGGAGCTTTGCTCTGCTGATAACGCGGAGGGAGGGAGCAAAGTCTAAACCTCTGGGGCAGGCCGGCGCCCCAGGCAGCGCGGAGGGGAAGGATCCTTGAGCGCCCGCGTGCTGCTGGGGCAGAGCGTGCCAGGGATGGGCCTGGGGACCTGAAAGGGGAGCAGGGACGGTGGCAGGAGGTGGCCGGTGACACCTCAGTCTCCTGCCAGGGTGGCTCTTGGGATATGGGGCAGCAACAAACTTCTCTTCTCCCTTTCTGTAGCTGGCAGAGAAGCCGACGACATTGTGAACTGGCTGAAGAAGCGCACTGGTCCAGCAGCCAGCACCCTAGCCGACGTCGCTGCAGCGGAGGCGCTGGTGGAGGCCAGCGAAGTTGCTGTGATTGGGTTCTTCAAGGTAGAGTGCGGGCGTGGGCCTTGGGGGCGGGGGGTGTCTGCAGCACCCTCCTGCAGGCCACACTGCTGGGAGCTGGCAGCCTCGCAGGAGGCCGGTCGTGGTCGTGAGGAGCTTGTTCCCCTGCCACACGAGCATCGGGGCGTCCAGCCTTTCCCGCTGGGGGTGTGGGACAGCAGGACCCCGGGCTCAGGGCTAACCCTTCCGTCTGTTCCCAGGACACGGAGTCGGGACCTGCCAAGCAGTTCTTGCTGGCTGCTGAGACTGTTGATGACATTCCTTTTGGGATCTCCTCAAATGGGGACGTCTTCTCCAAGTACCAGCTCAGCAAGGATGGGGTGGTCCTATTCAAGAAGGTGAGGAGTGGCTAGAATTGCACCCTGGACTCGGTTCTGAATCTCTCCCTGTTCCAGGGGAAAGGCTTCAGCTTGCCTTCTCATCCCTGCCCATGCAGTGTGAACCCTTAACAGCTGGGGGGAAGCAAAAGCACCAGCTGTCGGGGCCGCTGTGCGCAGGCACTGGAGCGCCCTGCTGCTTCAGTCTGGAGCAGGCCTGTTCAGCAGAGGGCAGCACAGTCGGCCTGTCGGGCCTAGCGTTGTGCTCATGTCCCCGGGCCTCTGCGGTTGTGGGTCCCCCTTGGCTCTAGCTTCAGCCTGCTTCCTGTCTTGGGTCTCTGGCTTCTGTAAAGCAGTTGGCCTGGGTGATCACAGCAGCGTGTCTGGGTGCTCTGCCATAAACTGCTGGGCTTGGCAGTCTGTAGCCTAGCCAGCTTCCTGCAGCCCTGCATCACTCCCCTGCCTTGCTCTTTAGCTGAGGTTGCCTTTAATGGCCCTGGCCTGCCCTGGCGGTCAGCTGGCCGGTGAGTTGGAAACAGCCATGATCTGCATGCAGCATCAGCTGCCTAGCTACTGCCTGGTGGGGGGTGAGTCTGGTGTGTTCTGTGTGCTGGGAGGAAGGAGCTGGCTGGCGCTGTTTAGAACAGCAGCCTCCTCTCTGGGCTGCGCTGGTTGAGGTCTGAGAGGCTGGACACAAGCTCCCTGGGAGAGCGGCTGGGGCTGGTACCTGTCAGGCAGCGAGACTGGGCAGAAGCTGCTTTAAGCTCCCAGATTAGACCTGAAAGTGTCATTTTGCAAGCATCCAATCTGTCCCAGGGCAGCTGCTTCTTGCATTCTTATTTCATCCTTCTCTAGCTGTCCCTGGAGAAGGCTGAGGGGCAGCAGCGTGGGGGGCTGCATTTCTAAACTGGAGTAATGTGCTTGAGCCCATCTGGTGAGAGAGACTGTGGGAGTAGCGCATCTGCAGAACGTAACTTGCTGCAGCTGTTGCTTTTCAGATGCTCGTGCCTTCCCTCTGGCCCTGCTCTGAGGCTGGTCCTTGTTGCATCTTGCTTTTGGGACCTGCGGCACTGGCTGTGTTTTGTGTGGGTGGCTGTTTGTGGCACTTCCACATGCCAGCCTGGAATTGGGTAAGGCTGGCATGTATCTGCTTGCAGGGGTTTTCACACCCAGTTATTTGATGGGATGGAACAAAGGCCTATGCTGGGAGGACTGGATCCTCCTACTAGAGGGGGGCAACTCACAGCCGTGGTAAGAACGGTTGCCCTGGCTGTCTGGGGCTTCCAGAGGTGTCTGCAAGACATTCTGCTGCCTCAAGTGCTCACAGATACGAGTAGGTTTGACTCATCCCTGCCCCACATGTTCTCCTCAATGCTGGTTTCCCACCATCCCCTTGTCAGGGACTCCTTCCACCATGGTCTGGACCGGCTTGACTGGCTAGATCTGTTGAGGGATCCAACCCCTAATTATACTCCTTCCCAGAGTTGCAGCTTGTTCTCTCTCTCTCTCTCTGCTGTCAGAGGCGGAAGGGGCCAGCTGGGCGGTGCTGGGGACAGCTAGGTCTCAAGGCTTCTCCACTTCTCTGGGTGAACTTGAGGGGGGCAGGGATTTGGAGGACCTGGGCTTGGTTGTCCCTGTGTTTGGGGGAGGGGATGACACAGACCCAGTTGGTCAAGCTGCACCAGAATGTCCATGGCACGAGCTGGCCGGCGGAGGGGGTGAAACCAAGCGGGTGCCCTTCAGCCTCTGAACATTCTTGCTGCGTGTCTGCCCTTATGCAGTGGCAATGCCACAATCGCACTATAAATATGCCTGCTTTCCCAGCAAAGCAAACGGCAGCAAGCCTTGCTTGGTTACCAGTGAGACCCCCTAGCCACTGTCCATCTGGAGTCAGACCCAGGCTGGAAAAGGGGCCGAGCTGCTCTCCTCCGTTGTCTGTGGCGTCCATGTGGGTCTGAGCACTGAGTGGTGACGGCATTTTTGAAGGCATGAGGGGATGGAGGAATGACTCCTGGAAAGGGGCTGACGGCTGCTGCTAAAATTACTCTGGCCGTCCTGCTCAGCTGGCCAGGTTGAGGCTTCCTGCTGTGGGAACACTTTGGTCACCCTAGAAATAGCATTCCACTGCCTTGCTGCTGCCAGGAATGTGCAAGCACCCCCTACCCCAAGGCTTTTGTCGGCCCAGCGGATCAGAGTGGACCAGCGGCTGACCCTCTGACCCCATGCGCCTCTCCCCTCTCCACCCTTGGTGCTCCTCTGCTGGCTGCCCAGAAAGGTTCTGAGAACTGGAAATGAGTGTCCTGGTATGAAGGGGACTTGGCACCTGTGCTCCAACATCTGCTCTTGTCTCTAACAATAGAGGGTGATGCGTTCCCTCAGGCCCTTGTGTCGGCGGCTGCATGGTGGGCCCTGCTGGTGGGGACATGGACTCATGAACAGCCCAGTTTGCCAGCTGATGCTGATAGGCTTCCGGTCAGCCCCATGCACAGACCAGCTGCAGCGGGAAGCTGCCCCCGCAGCCCAGTGACCACGTCTTTGAGATTTGTGGTGCCTTCTTGCTGGCTTGCCCAATGCCTCCCAGAATGTTGTGAAGCCAGCTGTTAAATTTGGAGCCTGTCAGTGGCATTCTTCACAAGTCCTTGTGTGGTCATGCAGAACCGTGCCAGGAGCAGGGTTCAGTGCCCTTCCTGCAACTACTCTCATTGCCTCTCTTCCCTCAAGGCAGGCATTTGTGTTTCCCTACTCTTAAGACAATCTCCTTTGTTTCCCCAGTTTGATGAAGGTCGCAACAATTTTGAGGGCGAGATCACAAAGGAGAATCTGCTGAACTTCATCAAGTCCAACCAGCTGCCTCTAGTGATCGAGTTCACTGAGCAGGTATGGCCTTGCTCCTTGGAAGCAGCAGGCCTGGGTGGAAGCCTGGAATGAAGCTGGGGGCTGTGTTCTGGCTTGGAGCCTGCCCTGTTGCAGCCCAGTGGAGCGGGAAGCCTAAGTAGAGCTCTAGTCCGGCTGTCTCCTGTGGCCAGCAGCTCCAAGAAGCCTTGGTGCTGGCATGGTAGGTACCTCCTCTGATGGAGCTCTCATGTTCCTTCCAGACTGCTCCAAAGATCTTTGGAGGAGAGATCAAGACTCACATCCTGCTGTTCCTGCCCAAGAGCGTTGCTGACTACCAAGAGAAGCTGGACAACTTTAAGGCAGCTGCTGGGAACTTCAAGGGAAAGGTGAGATGGGCAGGGGCTGGTGGTGGGCCTGGCTGCTCACCTGGTCTTTGAGGCAGCTCTGACTGCAGCTGCCACGCTTCCAGCCTCCCTCAACCAGCAGTTGCTCCTGGGCCTGGCTTTCAGCTGCAGGTGCCATCTGCCCGCCTTCACTGCTGTCTCGCCTGCAGTGCACTTGGCCATGCAGCAGCTGGCTAGTCTCAGAGACTCAACCAGGTGTAGGGCATTTGTGCACAACCTCAGTTCCTGCAGCCCCAGAATCAGCGCTAGCATGCAGTGAAGGGGGCTCCAGGGTGGAGGGGATGCCAGCTGATTGGCAGCACGAGAGACTTGGCAGCAGCGCCCTTTCCCTAAAGGGATGTCTTGTCTTCACCATCTCTGTTTGACTTCCTTCCAAAGATCCTGTTCATCTTCATAGACAGCGACCACAGCGACAACCAGAGGATCTTGGAATTCTTTGGCCTGAAGAAAGAGGAGTGCCCGGCTGTGCGCCTCATCACCCTGGAGGAAGAGATGACCAAGTACAAGCCAGACTCTGATGAGTTGACGGCTGAAAAGATCAAAGAGTTTTGCAGCAAGTTCCTGGAGGGCAAAATCAAGGTAATGGGGCCACTTTGCAGGCAGTGACAGGGAGCAATTGATTCCT